TCTTTGTACCATTAATTACACTGTGAATGTCCTGATTAGACGTTTTGGAGGTGTATGTCCTGAAGAAAGGGAAAGCCAATTGAAATTCATGGATCTGTAGCTGCTAGGGTCTAATCCTCTTCTATCTGAATAACAATGTAGACAAGAAAGAGGAGGGCAAACCCCATAAAAGAACAGCAAAAGTACAAACACGGTGCTGGGCTTAGTGCCCTCTCTTACTTGTAATCCAAGGAAAACAAGTCCATGGCAGTGTCAGCTACAGCAAGATGTTGCACACCTACACCATCCTCAGGCTGAGGCAGCACCAGCCAGGGCTGCCTTAGCTGGAGACCTGAAACAACAGAGCAAAATTAGCCTTGTCTGCTACACCAGGTTCTTATTAACAAGAGGCAGAAAGACATAAAAGACAAGAAATAAAGTAAGGAAGGAAAAGAAGACAGGGGAGGAGAGGGGTCGTAGTAGGAATGCAAATTTCACGTATCACAGAGTGTTCCAAATTAGATGAAGACAGTAGAACTGGCATTATCAGATCCCCTTTTATGGTCTGTTTTGGACTGGTCATGCCTTGCAATCAGGGCAGTGAAATCCTATAGTGTCCAAGTGGATCCTGTCGTCTCTGACGGTGCTGGGAGCAGTAACCCTGACTGTAAATCTCACGCCTTTCAATTAAGCTGGTTTTTTGGCATCAGTGTCAAATCAAATTTCCTCCTGCTTAACTTGCCCAAAGAAAGTCATGACTGGAACAGCACATACCCTTCATATTTTGTCTGGTATTCAAACCCAGCTTCTCAGTTATTAATTTTAATCCACTGATTTCTGATCTTGGGTTTCTGTTGATTACCAGACATAGTCTCCACATCATTGAATCCTACAGATAGGAGTCCTCATTCATTTTATCTCAAGTTTTTAATTATTTTTAAAAACAATGTGATATAAGAGGTTGAATAAAACTTTTGTATTGTGCAGTGGATAATACTGCACAAGAAAAAAAATATCACAATTTAAAATAAGGACACAGTGTCCTCCATGGGTTTTAGGCAGGGAATCTATCTTAAAGAATCTGACACTTTTACAATTGAGTAAAAGTTTTTACAACTGAGTAAAAGTTTTTTTATGAAAAAGGGATTTTACAAATCCACTTTTACTATTGCCACCCCTAACATCAATTATTTCATGTTCTGGGGATTATCTCTGTGATTTCTAGAAATCTTTACAACATTTTTCAGCTGCACCTTTTCTACTGCAACAAATCAAACTACTGCTATACTCCTTTTGAGAAGCAAATAGATGGAACATTGAGGTACAAGAGATTTTGGCTCTGTGTGGATGACTGGAAGACTGCTTTCATTACTGTGGTTATAACTAACTTTTTGGAAAGGTCTGACTCCTCTCCTATTGATGCTAGGGACAGAACAAACTGATTTCATTGGAAACAGCATAAATCACTAGTACATTTCATCAAAAAAATTAATGAGACTGAAAAATTCTCTAGTAACACTTGGGAAATCCTCACAGCAGCACTTCCCTGTTAAATGATAAAGCCTGTTCTGGGCTGGGTGACAAAAATAGGACTCAAGGAACATTTTAACATTATTATTTGTACTTTCTATAGGAAAAAGCTGCCATTTCTTTCACCCTTCTGATATGTCTCTACTTCTAAATTAGAATCTGAATTAGAATTACACAACACCTGGCATACTGAGGATGAGAGATGCACTACACATTGATATGAACAGAAAATATCCAACTCATATTATCTTATACAAAGTTTGTAAATCACTATTGAAATAGCTTTACCAGAAACACCCAGAAATTTGCTATTAACATTTTTCTTACCAAAAGAAAAGGTAATTCATTAAGTTCTATAATCTAAAAGAGAAAGAGGACTTGCCACTGCTGTTCAAATCTGAAAATGGCACATCTCGTTTCTCGTTTATTGGTTTGGCACATGCCATGAATAGAATAGTACTAATTTCATCCTAATATCTCAAAAATCAAGAATTTTCCATTTATGATAAATCCGTAGGTTTACAAATACAGTCTGATAATCCTACTGTGGAATGACAGCCAACCAGCCATGACAAAGTTCCATTTTAAACTCCTTCCTGCTTGTGAAGGTAGTCTGAACTTTGACAGACACGATCTAGAGAGAATTAGTGCTCACATAATTTACTCTGGGATGCTATGCCTTATTCTTCTGCCAGCCAGCAAAGACAAAAGGACATGAAGCTGGAGATAATGATACTCTGAAATGCTATTTTTTAGCACTCAGCAGTCAAAAGCCTGAATTCACTGTCTTCCAAAAATGCAGACAGAGGAGCAACAGTATTTTCATAGGCTTTGTGCTGTTATTTGCAAACTAGTGAATCTGAAATTCTCTGGTGTTGCTCCATTAAAATGCCAGCTCTGAAAGACCTGGCACATTACTGTGTGTGCTCCAACTTTCCGTGGTTCCCGGAAGTTTTGGCCTTGTACCACCTGCTCTTACAATGGTCAGTTTGTTTGCCACAGTAAAGGCTCATAACTTTTGTGGTTTCTCAATGCTATATTTTCTACATACACCTTAGCTTATGTCTTGCTCAGATTATTCAGTGATTTTGCAATTCCAGCATCTTATATAAATCTCTCTCTATTTTTTGTATTTTTCTCAATCAGCTTGGATAATCACTTTGCATTGCCTAATTTTGCAATATCATGCACATACAGCAGCTCACAAGCAGCAAGACTCCATGAGCATTTGGTAATAACTGCAAGTCAGTAGAAGTCCCCGTAGGTTTACAATTATTTTATCAGACACATCAGACTTTATTTTCAGCCTTCAGACTTTGTATCCTACCCATCTCCCATAATGTCAAGGCACAGCAGCGTGTGGTACAATACCAACATGCAGTTCCTGTCAGCACTGCATGGCTCACATCTACTGTTACAGATACTATAAAGAATACATTAGATCTTTATTCCCGATATAAAGTTATGTTAGACATCACCCAACCCATAAAATGCCTCAGCTGTACCCAAAAGACGGGCTGACTTCACTATATAGCCTTTCCATCTCATCAAAGAAACCATGCCATGAACAATGCTCATATGCTATTCTGACAATGGCATTTTGCTGGTTTTGGCTGGGGTAGAGTTAATTGTTTTCCATAGTACCTGGTGTGAGGCTGTGGTTTGGGTTTGTGCTGAGCATTGTTGATAATTCAGGGATGTTTTTGTTATTGCTGAGCAGAGCTTACACAGAGACAAGGCCTTTTCTGCCTCTCACCCCACCCCAGCAGCGAGGATCTGGGGGGGCACAAAGAGTTGGGAGGGGACACAGCTGGGACAGCTGATCCCAACTGACCCAGGGGATATCCCAGCACATAAAGCTGGGGGAAGGAGAAGGGAGGGGGGACATTCAGAGTGATGGTATTTGCCTTCCCACGTCACTGTTGCACATGATGGAGCCCTGCTGTCCTGGGGATGGCTGAACACCTGCCTGCCCAGGGGAAGTGGGGAATGAATTCCTTGGTTTGATTTGTGTATGTGCACGGCTTTGCTTCACTTATTAAACCACCTTTATCTGAGTCGATGAGTTCCCTCCCTTTCACTCTTCTGATTGTCTCCCCCATCCCACCAGGGGGCCATAAGCAAGTGGTTGTGTGGAGCTTTGTTGCCAGCTGGGGTTAAACCATCACAGTATTTAACACAAAGAGACAGAAGTAAAAGAAAAGTACCTCCAATGCATCAGGAAATTTTTCATGGAAGAACTGCCTTTACCTCTGACTTTTCATACTGTTATGACTCATAAAGTAACTTTCTGAAGGACTACACTCCACAGGAGAACCTCTTCTCTAGCACAGGTGCTCAGTTGCTAACATTTTGAGAGAACTGGTAGAAGGTCAAGAAGCCAGTTATAACACTGTTAGATATGAAAAGGGCTGTATATAAATTCCCCAACATAAATGCATAACATTTTAGTAATCTTTTAAAATTGCAATTGTGACAGGCATTTTAAATAAAATATCAGCAATCAAGCAGCATTTTTGGTAAGATGAACTGTTTAAAATACCAGACAACTTTCTGTTGCTGGTGTATAGGATGAGTAGAAAAGAAAATCTAGTCTCTACGTTTACCAAGTGACGTGGTAAGTTTTAGTCAGTCAAAGTTTTAAGCAATGAAATTCTATACAGTAACAGGGTTTTTCTGCGTACTGGTTAAAATATGTTGAAATTATTCCACCTATGTTTATTTCTCGGCTTTATTTATGGCCTCTGGTGGCCTAGTGGTTAGGGTGCAGGACTCTCACCGCTGCGACCCGGGTTCAATTCCCGGCCCCCCGGGCAGATGGAGCTCGTCAGCCCTGTGAGGCAATCC